ACAAACACGAATAGTAATGTAATTATCGTAAAATCATATTGAATACGTTTTTCTGTTTAAAGATCAAGGACTTACGATCGCAGTGAGCAAATTCACCCAAGATAGAAAAATCGCAATCACGGTTGTGAATGAAGTTAAATCACGACCGTGATCGTGATTCGGCGATCACTGTGATAAATCACTGTTAGTGATTTTGCACGCCATCTCTAATAAACATATGTATAAATTCCAAACAATATCCGTCATATAAGATATACACGATAAATAAATATGTATGTCGGGACTTGATTGTAGTTTTGCGCGTTAATTTTGAATATTGAAGTTTGTTAATAATTTATTGATTATTTCAAATGTTCAGTTTTGATGTTTAATTTATCGATCCTAAGTTTTGTAAATAATTTTATTAATAAATTTATCGTTGAGTTCAGCCGTGTGTACTTTTATTTATAAATCGTTGAAATTCTAATTGTACATCATACATCTCACACACGGGGTCTCTTCAGCATGCTTCGGGGGCTCCGTGACCCCACATTCTCACCCCGCGTGATCAATGGCGCCTCCACCGGGTATATGAAGATTAAGATCACATCTCTACTATGTTATAAACATTGAGGATAGATAATCAAATATTAGTAGGAAAAGGACAACAGAAACTATCGAAGTGTAAAATGACCGGGAAATACAACGAATTCACTGTCTTTAAATCGAATCATACTGTTCATTGTATTCTTTGTTTTAATGTTATCAAATTATTTGTTTAAATCCACCGAGTTGATTTTGTACATTAATAATTGTTGTGTATGACTAATTAATATTTATTTTTTTATGGAAAATGTCGAAATCACTTGTAGCGTTATCTACGATAAAACGTATGAAACTACTAATCAATTGTTATCATTTTCTTATAGTTAGATGGCGCGATACTGTCTTTTGTGGTGTGATGGCTGTGATTTCAAATATATAGATACGTAGTAACTGGTAGTAACCAGTAGTAACCGTACTAATGTTAAGTAATGTCAATACGCATGCCATGGCAGAGTGGTTACAGTCGAAAATTGTTCGTCTAGGCGAACTAAACTCAGTGGAAGAGAAAAAGGATATCCTATCAGAAATAAGAATCAAGTTGGGAAGTTTAAATACTAGAGAATCCGAGCAGATCGCTCAGAATTTGAATTTCAGTCAATTCTTTACACAACTAACCTCGAATGACAGGTACCATGACATCGCTGATTTTGTATAATCTTCAATAACGCACTGATATTTAATCACAAAATGTCCCGATGAATAGTATTTAGTAAGATAACAGATAGTAGAAGGATATTGTAAAATTACAAATTTATTACTTTTTCTTTTACAGAGAGTTTGTAAATCAATTATGCGACATTTTGAAGACATTGTTTGCTCTGCTGGAGCCTGGAGAAATATATCAAAGATATTCAACTGAATTCTCTCAATTGATAAGTCATTCTGATGCCATAGTTAGATCACTTGTATTACATGAAATTTTATGTATTGCATCTGATCCACACAAAGTGACAATGTTGCTTACAGACATTAGTTTACTTGTTGCTGTTATAAATAGAATTGCAGATGACAATTTAATGGTAGCCAAGTGTGCTATGTGTATAATGAAAGAGATTGGGAAAAATGCAAGTGGATTACAAATTATATACACTGGGGAGTTATTAAGGAGTTTTGCTAGATTTGTAGTAAAAAATGACACAATCAGTTTCCGTGTATATGAAGTTATTGCAGATATAGCAAAGTCTTCGAAGCAAGGCCTGGAAGCTTCAGCTGAGTCAGGATTTTTAAATAGTTTATTCAATATTTTGGAAAGCGATGATATGTTGCTTCAAGTATCTACGTTAGAAATTCTGACACAATTGGCATTGACGGAGGAAGGATTGAGTTACTTGGAACAGCAAGAAGTGTTGAGGAAATTGGTTCAGAAGATAGCTCAAGCCAACGAGAATCCACTGTCAAATCTGTTGATCCCTGGGTTAATGAAGTTTTTTGGGAATGTCGCACGTCTTTGGCCTAATGAGATTTTTTCAAAATATCCGGTTGTAGTCTCTGCATTGTTTGAAGTAATAGAGAGCGAGGATCAGGCTATCCTTGGTGTTGCATTAGATACATTGGGAAATGTTTCTGTAACCGCTGAAGGTAAATATGCTCTACAAGCTCTAGGAGATGCAATGCCATGTGCCTTAAAGAAAATCGCAGAAATCATACAAAAAATGCCTGCAGCGTTAAGAATTCGCGGGCTGAATAGTTTGACTCTCATACTCGATGTGCAAAAGACAGAGCAGGACAACAGAATTTTATCATTAACGAAGTCGTGGTTCGATTGTCTTTGCGACGAACCATTGGCTATGATTTTAGGATTATGTAGGCAACCATTCGCGGATATTAGACACGCAGGCTTAGAAGTGTTGGCGGTTGTAGCGTCGCAGGTGTGGGGTCAAGAGTACATATCCGTTTTTCCAGGTTTTATAGAGTTCTTATTGGATAGAAATATCGAGAGTTTCAAGGAGTGTAAAGAAGCTAAATATGAAGTTATTAAACGGCTGTCTCAAGCAGAATCAAATATATTTGATGCAGGCACGATGCAGAAGTTAGTAGAGTTCATGAATCGAGGGCCCCACTATGTTGAAATCCCTACTGAAGTTGCGACAGATGGTGGCCTATGAATCCATTACTTTGATCTTTGTTACTATATTATAATATTAAGAATCATCAACGACTGCCTGAAACATTAATTAGAACCCAATATAACTTTGTAACAAAAAGTGTATACTACTTACTCGTACATTTTATACACAACAGCAAAGTGCGAAGTACCATCTTTCGGGAGACGAGAGTAAAGAAGTATACAAAGACAAATAATTTATTTTATATATGTAACAATACATAGAAAAGTTAACGCTACATGTTTTTGCAATAACGCAAAGAATTCAGGTGACTCGCGACACCATGTTTGTAATTCGTCGTTGTTCTCGTTCGATTCGTAATTATATTCTCTTTTTTACATCAATTACTTATAATAAAGACGTTTATAAATAATTTTATCAGACGTGTGCTCTGCTTAACAGCTATATCACTGCCTCATTGTATGCGTTTCCGTTTTTTCGGTGAAAGTATCTTCAGCATACTCACTATAGGAGCTTCGAACGATAACGATATGATGAAGGATAATAAATAGGATAGCACCAGTTGCCCAAGGAATGTGATCACCTGAAAATTTATATAGTATATATATTGAGAGGAAACAAGACGTTCGTATTTTTTGTAGGAGCATACCATAGTATATTTCCCTAAGTGAAACGGCGAATCGAGGTTCAAAGCTGTTAGCCGAATCACGAGCGGATGTATCAAGTAGGCGCAGTATGTTATTCTACTGACCGGATACAGTATCGGTGCTGACAGAATGCTATTGACATATCCTGTAAACAGTGAATCTGTTACTTTACATTATCCTGAACATCGACGAACCGTCGTTATCTTCGTAACAGGAGTGTTCAGTTTCTCTGCACGCCTCCGTTTAACGTAAGTACGGGGCGAGGAGAACATGAAACTGAAGGCAGCTTCAGTGCGACATTTACCTCTTCTTACGATTACATATTGTAATTTATATGTCGTTGAATTTTTTATGTCTTAACGAGTGTAACAGTTGTGTCATTGCCGGTAAGACACTTACCTCCGTAGCCCGTGCTACATGCAAGCACGATCCACGATAAACCAAGTGCCCAGACACTGTGACTCAAAGACGAATAAGCGGCCGCCATCAGGGGGCTCAGCTCTGCTTCGTACAACCCGTACAACAAACTCAGTAGACAGGCCGAAGAGAAAAGCCAGCCGACGCAGACTGTCGTCTGTAAAATACCGATCAATAGATATTACGTGTTAGTAATTGCGATCGACAGGGAAAAATGTTCTATTTCACCTTGGTCATTTTTATTTTGCAATCAGTCTTGAAGAGGAAATAGCCCATCGCCATGCCTATTAGATACGGTCCCAATCTGGTCCATGGTTTGTCGTAGATTTTATCGAAAAGCGCTAACGGGTCATCGGAGCTCGGCATGTGATTATTCACTAGAGCGATGTAACCCGTTGTCATCCAGGAGCTGAGCAACAACGCGCTCAGCAAGAACGTTGCGATTTTGAAGTGGTTCGTCGCTAAGACCAATATCACAGCGCCGATGACATAAAATTGAGTGTCGTCCGCGACGTACCAGCTCCATATCATGCACTAGAACGAGCATGGGTTAATTATTGTCCCCTTTTAATACAACAGTACCTACCAAAGTGGCTCGAAAAGATTTGTACTACATCGAGGGTAGAAAAGAAAAAATCGGCCGGTCAAGGTGAATATTCTGGTCGTCTTTGAACTCTGTCCTGTCGAGGGCATGTGGGGAAACTACCTTGAGCGACCAATGTGTACTTTCTATCCGCGATGCAGGTGTCGCGGAGTGAGAGTAATGGTACCTTTCTATCGGTCCGTACGCCGATTTTAAACAACAATAACACACTCACCATTTGGTCGACCGGGAACAATGTATTGATATAAAGTAAGTTCCTCCACCAATAATTTTGGCAGTTATAATGGTCTGCGGTCGGTGGCTCGAACACAGAGTTCGAATGGAACCATTTCATCGCGACCTGAACTACGCCTAGTACGAACATGTACGGGGCGGTGAGTCTACAAAATCGGTAGATGAGCAGACCGATGAATTTCAGACTTCCTGAAACGAAACCCCTTGTACCCTGTGTCAGCGTCTTCAGCTCTCCCTTCGCGTTCGTACGGAAGAACAGGAAGCTGACGAGCAATCCGCCCATGAAGAAGAACGTGTCCACACTGAACGCTCCGTTCGAGATCGTTTGAAAGAGGAACTTCCTCTCTACGACTTTACGATACTCCATGTTGTCGGAATATTTGAACGCGGTGATGCACGTATGCCCGAGTATCACCCAGGCCATCGATATCACCCTGAGACCGTGGATGGTGCTGATCGTGTCTCCGCCGACTTTGCCGTCGCAGATGATTTTCACGTTCCCCGGAACCGAGAAAGATAGCAGCAATTCCTCGATCACGCCTACGAACAAGATCGACCAGGTTTTGGGTACCTTTCCCTTATTTACACGTCGGCCTACCTTTACAAACGTTCGTTCGCTTACTGAATTTATGCACCTCCGGTGTGGTGGATCGTAGGCTACCTTCGTGATCATTATTGTTGTTGATCGCCAACGTCTGTGACCCGCCGATTATAGCTTCAGCCGCTGGAACAGGAAGGTAGACCTTACCTTGAAAAGCTACGGAATATAATAATAAAAGTGTGTCACTGTCTCTGCTACTGTCCTAGTCCTGTGATAGTCTGTGAAGTGTTAAACGTGTCACCCTTTCGTTCTCAATGAGGGGACCTGTGCTACACACACTATTTCTCGATTATCAGAGAAAGAGGAATGTAACAGGAAGGACGCAAAAGATTCGCGAGGGAAAACTCTTACCACTTAACGATTTCTGACTTCTGCCGGTCAGTTGCTCGAGCTTCGCGTGCCTCTCTAAATCGTAAATCATGTTCCTTCGAGTATATTTCCGTGTCACGTAGATGTCGTATCCGGAACCGAGCGCCATCAGAAAGAATACCGCAGCGGTGGCGCCACTGAAATGATTCACGGTATCAATATTCGTTGGAACGAGGCTTTTGGATCGGTGTCCGTGGCTGATACTATTTGAACATACAATAACATCCAGAACATGGGATCTTCGTACATGTCGTACATATCGTGTTGGTCGCGTATCTTTTCAATGGACGAGTGTCTCCCTGCGAAATCGCTCGCCGCAAGCCTCGCTATTACAGAGACATCAGAGGCGGAGCACGAGAAGGGTAAACACACTCCCATATAAATTGTCCTTGTCTGTAAAAGAATATTGCAGTCATTTTTACGTTTTCCAAAAACCCCACGCGATATCTACAGATAGTTATCGATTTACCACCGGCGACAAGGTAGCGTTCAACGATATCGTCATCATATAAAATCCAAGTTTGTACGGCGGTTTGATCATAGCCGACTCGGTCCAAAGGTTGTTCGCGCTGGGACCGGCGTTCTTTCTCCGCGGTTCCGTATTGAATTCCTCCACCTCCTCCGTCCCTGTTTCCTTAACCGTTTGCTTGATCTTTCGTCCATAATCCTCGTTAATATAAATACACTCGGTCGAGGATCCAACGTAGTACGAATTCCCCCAAAAGAAACTGTTCGTGTATCGGCCCGACGAGTCATCCGCTGTGAAATTAAAGAGAACGGTTATTTTAGAATCTCGGAAACCTTAATCGACCGATTCGAATAGGACGCGTAAAGAAACATCGGTGGGTTGCGTTTTATGGCGTTGAATGACTAGTTGTTAACCAATGACCCACTTTTGTCAGTCAAGCCACTTTCCCTTCGACCGTCCGACTGACCATTTCCGGATCTGTTCCCTCAAAATTCCGTTGAAAGTGAACCAGCATGTTTTGAAGCTAACGTGCTTGCGCGCTTGACCTCTACCATGTATTTTTTCAAACGGTCAACGATTTCGGAGCACTCATCCGCAACTTTGTTCGTTGGAATTCGAATACGCGTAATCGACAATTTCACTCGATTCAATTCGAAGCCAGCCTACCAAACCGGTGTTCGTCAGTGTGTCGCAACACCGGGCAATTTTCATGAGGGAACGCTCGTTCGTTCGCGTCAGTTAATACATAATTTTCATTATCAACGGATTACGACACACATCGGGAGCGAGATATCCACAGCGTTCACCGGCGAGAACTTTCTATTCGGGAAGAAAGTAATATTATCTAATCGTCGTTGGCGGTGGCGTTCAGGTTTGTACCGTGATCCAGTCTCTAATCATGGAGTTCCGTTACATTAACGATAAATTGCGGTTACAGGGATGGAATTGCAACGTCATCGTAGCATGCACGCGCAAACGAAAAAAAACCGGACAGACTCAAGAGAAGTTTCCATGGAAATATTTCGTAACCAGCGCACCGAACGTGGCATTCCCATTCCCATCAGGCCTCATCGTCATCGGTGAAATTTCTCCGTTTCCAGCGTGCGCGTATCGGTCTCCCGTCATCTGCGATCTTTGCACCGGGATCAAAAGAATTTCGACGAATCCTCTTAATTCGAAAGTAATTCTTGACCTTGCTTACTCTGCTGCTAAACATTACCCAACTCCATTGGCGTAACTAGAATTCTTTTCCAACCCCCGTCGATATCCAACAACGGACAGAATCCTATTGTCGATTCTGTCCGCGCAATGGCCGATGCAAGTCGCGTGCACAGGGTGTCGGAAATTCGAATCACACAATCGGGATTCCACACGCGTTTACGGTTCCTCGGTTGTTACTTTTCCGCAAAGTCAAGTTCGATCCTCGCACGTGACCTGTGTTCGCTTTCGTTAGATACGATCTAACGTATTTTGTCTGGGTTTTGTTCACATGTGCCGCACGAGATGCACACATTCGGCCTATACAACAGTCGTTCAGCCTTGTGGCCCCGGGCTCAATGTTCGTATCTTCTGTTCAAGGAAAACGAAAGGATCGATGGTCACGACGCCATTGAACGAGATCATTTCCCGCCGACGAAATGACGTTTCGTTTATTTCGCGAAAGAAAGCGGGAAACGAATTCGATAGGTTTCGCGTAACGAGACGGCGACCGGTTTGCAAGGAGGTCTCCTGGCTAGATCACCATTCTCATGGTCGAGGCTCCACCGGCAAAGTTCATGGGCTATCGCAATAAAACGTGGCTCGAAAAACACCTGGTTTCGGTTCGCTGGCTTGGCCACTTTGTTCACTCCGGGGGTTTGTAAAAGCAGCGGAATCACGCGCCCAGAGCAGCGAATCGGTGTGTACGTAGTAATTGAGGGAGAAAGAGAGACAGAGCAGTCCTGATCGAGTGCAGACAGGGCCGAGTATAATGTTCCTAACCTTGTAAAATATGTTGCAGAACCGATCTTTCCACCAGACGAATGATCGATAGAAAAGCAACGGTAAAGTAGGTTAATTTCGGGTCTGGTTGTAGCAATCGACACTAAACGACCACTTTCCTTCGACGTCGGCTATCGTCGATCATTGACCGTGACAATACGATCTATCGTCTAATTTCCGAGAGATTGAACCTCGAACGTGCTGAACAGCGCTCTCTGGATGGCCGCGGGGAAAGTAATTCGGAAAGAGAAAGGCTCTCGTTTGCATAGTCCGCTCGTGTCGCAATATTAATGTCCAGCCGCGGGATGATCGTGTGTATAGGTATGTATATCTGTTTTTACGGATTATGCGTGAAGCATTCCAGTGGATGTGTCCTTGACTAGTTTCCTTCGGATGTAAATTTACAGCCGTCGATTACGACCATAGCCCCGAGTGGATGTATAATGTATCCACAATATGTGTCCCTTCGAGGGATTCTCCGATCGGTTCGTCATTTTTCCTTCGCGGGACGATAATGCATTCGAACGAAAGACAACGCAAGACAACGTGGTCACGGATGATGCGACGCCGATTCGGTGAAACCGTGACGCTTGAGGATGTCTCTTCGGCGATTCGTTACGTAACCTATCGAGCGTTGCGAGACTCCCGAGGGGAAACAAAAGAAGAAGAAAAGTTGAAATTATAACGTGCGCGCAACTTTTCCAACGGACAACGAAAAGTGAAAACGGCTTGGGCACGCCAGGACATCGCATCGTCTCGAGACGAGGCGTTTCCAAAGGTGGGTTGCGGCAACCAAGGCGTTTCGAGGTTGTCCCATAATCGGTGATCGGTCAGCGAAAACGTTAAACGTTTTCCTCGCATTTCCTAATTGATATCGGTTGATTTGCCAAGCGGAATTAATTACAGAGCTCCGGCTGCATGCCTACCTGCCTCCCAGCCTTTAAGGCTCCTCTCGCTATTTAGCTTCGATCGCCACCTACACGCACACATAGGATGATTCGAAATGAACCACAGGAGAAAAAGTTTTCTATGCGGAAGATAAATATCAGTTCAGCTGGAATTATTCTGGACAACACAGACAGAAATTCCGAGATGAAAAATGAACGGACTCGCAAATACATTTGGGCTGTTACGCAAGTCGAATACGCCAATGCGGGTAGTACTACACTTTCTACTCTTCGTGCATTCTGTTTTTTTCGACGATGCACGTTAATGCCTCGAGCGTAACTCTCCTCGACGAAGTATTCGAGTCCGCGCATATATACTCCACTTGACTGATCCTACGTCAAATTTTCAGGAAGTTCTTCGTTGAAGTAAACGTTTGCGATGCGAATATGTATACACACGGTCCACTCGGCCGTACAAACGTACACGCCGAAGGAAACTTGTTCGCGAGGGAAACACGTAGAAAGTACATAAGGGAGTATCTGCTTACATAATAATTCGTGGTCGAGACATTAATCAGGCGCGAGAAGAGATCGAGTAAACCTTGCCGACTGGTACGCGCTCGGAATTATACAAAGCTGGTCCAAAACATATTGCGCAACTTCAAACGGTTCGAATTCCTGCGACTGAAAATGAGTAAACCAGCTGGAATATATCTGGTATGTAATTACAAGTTTATGAGATAATAGGTTTCAAAGGCATATGGGATGCTTTAGAACAATTGATTTGGAGTGTACATACTATTGTAATAGGTTGTACAAAACACGGATCCACGCTTTTGACGGATGGTAATACGTATCTCTTCCTCAGACTTTTCTCAAAATGATTATGGTCAAACGAAAAAGACACGAAGAAACTGCATTACTCTATATCGTCTGTTATATTCTGTAGGTAGGAAACACCAGCTTCGTTGAAAGTCTCCGAGACGCCGATGGATCGTGATCAGCGTGTTACACGATCCGGAAGGCCAGTCTGCATAGATGAGGGTACGGCCAGCAACCCGTTATGTCACCGTTAATAAGAAAAACAGATGCAAAGGATCGGGGATTATTTAAGAAAAGTCTGGTTACGTGAAAGTTGCGCTCACGAGCCCCTGGTTTACACGTAATCCTTTCTCCCTGTGCCACGCGCGGGTTTTTGTATCCAGCGTGACGTAATTTCGATAACTGCCGCGGTTTCTCTGGTTCGCCGGTGTTCCTCCGCACGCGTCTTCCTTAAACTTTCTAACGCCGATGTCGTCGTCGCGCGGGTCGCCCGCTGGATCACGCCGACGGAAGTCGTCGGCGGCGCGATTCGTGGCGGATTATTAGCACATTTTCTACCGACTGCTATTTAATAGGTTTCGTAGATCCAACGATCAACAGCCAAAGAACTATTATTAAACAGTTCAATTACAGTAGCAAGATACATTCATGGAAAATAGCAAGAAATCTAATAAGGTAAATTAATAGGCTTCTTATCTATAAGCAATGAAGTGAACGCGCTCGAGAACCAAATAGAGAAATCATCGCGTTGAATAACAGTCGAAGGGAACGATTTAGCACGGAGGTTATTTACTTTCTTTCGACCTACTAAAAAAGATTGATTCGTGTCCGACTTTCTGTCTCCTTATCACTCAACCAAGTAACGCAATCCGTTTTGCAAAACATCATCCGTTTCTTGTACACCTTTCACCTGATCGAATATGTACTTCTTGATCCAGGTACTCGAGCCGTTGATACGATTAAAAGACAATCCAGAAGCCACCCGTGATCGAGGAGCAACAACAGGAAAGTCGACGGGAGAATGCCCGTTCCCACAATGGCGGACACCCGGGGGAGAAGAGGCGGCGTTTCAAATGTCATATAACGGTAATGCTCTCCTAACGACTAGCAGACGCGCACCTTTCACCTTTTCCTCGTGTAATTGTACAAATTTCAACTTCCGATGACGATAATGGAGCACGCGGGCTCAAACAGAGAGGAGAAAGTCGAATGAATTCGCCGCCGTGTGTTTTCCGCTGTTGGAAATTGGGGAGAGTTCGGTTCTGGGCGGAGTTCTCGCCCGGAAACAATGAACATCGGACGATAACATAGAACCTTTAACGAAATCATTACTGTCGTCCAGGAACAGAGGGAAATACTGGTAAAACTGCGGTTATCAAACAAGGGAAAAAAATGAATTTCTCCTTTCGTCCCTGGAAAAGTTGTCGTTGCCTATATTACCCTTCTATCAAGACGCATCGGCTTCTCGAAGTTGTTTTCCTGAAGTTAACCGACGGCTGGTCGTTCCTTGTCCGTTGAACTGAAAAGACTTATACTCATCGTAACGGAATAGATGTCGAAAGTACCCGTGGGCGAGAACCTGTTTTGTTTCTCTTTAGGCCCGGTTTATAGACACGACTATTCGATTTGCGAACAGGTTATTGTCTACCCGGAAAAAGAATACCTAATAGCTGTACGAATTCAATGTCCATGACTATTCGAGAATCGACAGTCAAATACATGTCCCCCCGTGTCGTTCTTGAATTTCACGACGAATCTTTTTATTACGTCCGTTTCGTGTTGCTCGTTGCGTATAGAAAATATTATCTACGTTCTCCGTGTTCCAATTTTCAAACGTTCGTGCAGGCACATCGACAGGGTAAACCAGTTACTACCGCAGCGCCGGTTTTCGACGATCGGACACGAACTCAAAGCTCGACGGAGGAAACGAGCCATGACTGTTGCCCCCTTTTTTTTTATTTTTTTATTCACCAGGTGTCCGTGGCGCGTTTCCTTCTCCGAGCGACCTTTTACTTATCGATAGAGCACGCGCAATTATATGTATAAAAGCAAGAAAACTTCTAGTTAAAAAATATTGAATAATCAATCGATTGATGAATTCGACTTGTACCGAACAAACCTTTGTCGTCGATTCGATCGCTACTCATTAGTGCACGTTGAATCTGTTCCTGTGACTATTAAATCGGCGTTCTTTGACCAACAAGAATTATCGTCCCTCGACAGACAATTATTCTTCTTGTTCTTGTGTCTTCGCGCGGGAAGAGGCGAAGGGACAACCATGACACACTTAATCTAACCCTTTCACCTGTACTCAGCGTACCGCAGATACAACCTTGGATAAGGGATAATCGAAGGCGTAGCAGCAAGGTATATACGAAGAAAGTGTACATATAAATACCTTGTCTATTCTTAGATATTGCGTGGATCGTGGTATACGTCTAGTGGCATTCTTCGCGTATTACCTGCACGCAACGGATCGTTTTGTCGCCGTTCCGAGATGCTATTTCATCGTCGAACAAAACCGTCCGATTAATCGATTGGCCGTGGTTAATAAATCGCACGTGGAAAACAGGACATTGAAACACGGCCAGTTTAATTGAACCGTCCACGAGTCCGTAACGATCGTTATCGATCGTATGAACTTTCGAGAACCGCGGAGGAAGGCTCCTAGCCAGAAGAAAAACGGCATTGACCGAGGGAAGAAGGAAAAGCATCGAAAGTTTATTCGTTTGTCACGACCAGCCGCCGGCGAGCCTGTTCTTTTGTGTCGCGAAAAGTGAAATTCGACCGATACTTGTATCACGACTCTCGATTTCTTATACGTACAGTGGCTGCCAAAAGTTTTCGGCTAAATTGTAATTTCAATATATCATTTTGCAAAATATATAATACGAATAAACTCTTCATCTACCCATAGTGAGTTCGGACGGTTAGGTTTTCAACCGTTTGCGAAATAACAGACGCGTTAAATTGTGCGTTTAATATTTCGTTTTCCAGCGGGTCTGCGATCCCGGTTTAACGTTGGCGGAATCACGTGCGTCGTGCCAAGCAGACCCGGCAATTATGTCCGTTCCTACGCGGAACCACGGGTTACACTTTCTATTTGTGTAAGAAATTTTTGTCTCCACGCGAGTAAAATGTGCGGTTTCATGACCGACGAAAAAAGAAGAAGAAAAAAGGAAATGCGAGTCTCGTTCGTGACTGGTAATCTTTGCCACGCATCCGTCTATTGGGACCAATCATTTGTCGCGTGTTGTTAATTCGACTTTACCTTTCAGGGCCCATCCCTCGTGTCTCTTCAGTCCCTGGATGTATCGCGTGATGTCTTTGCCGCATTGCTCCTCCACGGGATGCCACCCATCGGTCCAATTGTTGGCAAGATAACGCACGTTGAAGATGTCCAGCGTCTCCGTCAGCGTGGTCCAATTTCTGTCCGGGATCCGGTCAACATCCACCAATGTCCTTGTTCGTTGATCCCCGAGAAGATCCTGCACGGGAATCTCCGACGTGTTCGAGGAGGATTTCACCCCGTATATCGCGACGAACGCGAACAGAATAGAGATCCACGTGTGGTTCATCGTTTTGCAATATATATAATAATAATAATAATAACTAATTGCACTAATTCCACCGGTCTAATAAGATCGTTAGAAATTAAGTTAATCTCAACTGATCATGATCGAGAGGTCATCAAGCTTCGGGTTAAGTGTCCTTTTTCCAAACTGGCGATCGTATCGATATATCACAGCAGAAGAGGGATTAATTTATCGAATCACAGTCAACGCACGGTACTTGTGTTTCTTTCTTTACGAGATTTCAGGGTGAATCGAAATATTATATATCCACTGATATTATTTATCTCTGTAGATCACGTAAATCTGTCGGGTCGCATTTTCGTGGCCTTCCAGGGTGTATCCACGCGAATCACTTCCGTTTTCATCATGAACTGATCACGGTGAAGACTGAGACTGGACGAGAGAAACAGGCAGCGACACCCGTTCCACACGACACACGTCCCCCGATGATCTCGAACACGAGTTCTTTCTCTTTCTCGATCGGGCAGCAACGAGCACCAAGATTGGGTGTGCGTGTGCGCGTGTCCTGTGCCGTCCTCCGTGTGGTTCTTTCGCGTTCGAGGGCCAAGAATCACCTGGAACGACGAAGCTGGCAATGGTAAGAAAAATGGCCTCGCCGGATGAATATCTTGGTAGTAATGAAAGTGCCCGGAGAAATGGTGGGGGAGCAAACCTCCCCGTATATCGAAAAGTGAACGCCAACAGGCGGACACCATAGGCCGACACGCATTGAGCTTAAAACCGTTTCGTGTGGTGCCGTAGATAGGACAAGATAGGCAAAGGAACGTTAGCTATAGACACCTTCCTAGAAGCGTGTCCGTTTGTTCGTTGGTCCAAAAGATTTATTGTTCGAAACGTTTATTAAATTCATAGCGATTTCTCTTACGCACTGGAAGTATTTCCGAATAACGTACATATATGTTTGGTAGATTAAGGAGGAAATCGTTCTCGAAATACTGGAATCACTGACGGCCCGAGTTAAGCGAACGGTAGTTTTCTACTTACGTTAATAAAAAGACGGAAGAAGCGTTTCAGCTCGTTAAAATTAGAGAGCACGTAGAAAACCAGATATCCAAAACGAGCCGGTTATGTTTCGAACACTGCGGCTGTGAACTTCGCACCGACACACATGTTCCTCCGGTAATATTTTTCATTTTTTGCGCAGGATAAATTTCGGTGACCGCATAGAAATGCGAGTCACGGCGTGCAACAGAAAATGTATCGCTCTCTCCTCGACGAGACGACATAATTTTACCTGCTATGTATATATGTGTAAAACGCGTTGCGACGAACTCGCGTACGACACCTGTCCACGAAAGCGTAATTCGTTTCGCGTCTGATCCCTAATTACAAGCTTAATGATGGGTGATAATTAGTGGGGAATTAAAATAAATCGATTGATATCGAAAGAATTAGCGTTGAATACACGAGACGCTTTCGGCAGTGTTCATACGCGAGTTCTTCGCGAGATACGATGACCAGGTACGTCGCGCAAGTTTCACCGGGAAATTTCATACTGTTAAAAGCGGTGTTTTCCCTTTCTCCGGCCGTAGAACTTTCGTCAAATGCTGTCGTTCGCTCGATCGTGCTGAAATTTTGTGATCTTTCTCTTTCATTGCACGGGCGTTCGATCGTCCTACGAAACGATTCGTATAATAATAATTCGTTAACGTTACGACGAGTCCGCAAGATGAAAGTTTCTCGATCCGATTTTCTCGTGGCGGTTATCAGTAGTCGCGTGTTTTCTCTGGCGATCGTGAATTAATGTTACGTTCACGCGTTTATCCGTCGCGAGAAGTGTCATTAACGTGAACTCGGACAAGGCACGGCCGACACGTTATTCGCAGCACGCGCTGCTTGGAACGCGAGTCGCGTGAAAATTAGACACGATTTTACGCCCCATTAGGAACACCTATTTTACGAAGTGTCATGTACTTACAAAGCTGGGCAAAGATAAATGTCTCTGGCCCATCTTGATCACTCATTACACTCTGTACACGGAGGAAGAACCTTGAGTAAGTTCGACGTACCTCTGGTTTGCTATGTTTTTTTTCTTTTTTCTTTTTTTTTTTCTCGCAAATTGATTTAAACGTTCCTCTTTTTGTACAGGCGACTTCCGTGTTCCTTTGCATATTCATTAAGCCCGATGACAAGAAGAGGGAACGTTAACGACTCCGCGGTTACACTTTTATTCCGCTTCCTGAAAGCGTGCGCCCGGCCGATCGAGCTTCGAAACTTTCTTCCGGAACGATTGGTATATAGATATTTTAATTCCGAATTTCTCTTTCGTTAGAGTCACATATTTGTTCTGTGACGCAAACCACATCGGCGCGGTGAAACTGGTCGAGGGGAACCGAACGAATCTCGTTATATCTTTCTCTCGCAAACCAGGGGTAGACATGCTCGTGGAACACGAGACGATTAAGGACCTTCGGGAGGAGATTCCCCCTGATTCGTTCGTGGCGAAGGTCCCAAAGTCATCCTGGTCATTCTGTGAACCGCTTCTTGTTCAGGTGTAATGTCGTCGATCATCGATCGATTCGACACGGTATGATTCAACCTTTGAGCAGAGTACAGTTGACCGAGCGTGGATCGAATTCAAATGCGCTCCATTTTGGGAGTAGACAAACACTCAAAGGTAGAAAGAGGAAAGTCACGATGACTATGTGTAATTTCACGTTACATTGAGGTCGCGGCCATTAGATCTCAAGGGTACACCGTTTCTGTAATTCGTTTTTTGGTACCGCGAGCTGGAATTTATCGTGTTATAAATCACGCATTTTAATTGAACTGCCTTACGGATTACCGTGGTAGATGACTTTTCAACCGTTCGACAGGTCTTCCTTGAAGGCGTTAATTACACTCGTTTAGTATAGATTTTAGCATACCAGAAACGGTTGATTGGATTCCATGTCCCATAAAAATTCGATTCGCACGGTTCTACTAAAAATTATAATCGGTCCTAGCCTTGACTACAGAAAAAGGCGACATTTGCTCGGGAAGCATTCGTCTCGCGATAAACCGCTCAGGGACCATAAATACGTCTGGTCGTTTTCAAGTTTTTTTTACGTAATATCGTTGATGTCTGACGATCACCTGTCTCTCGGTGCCAGATATTGTACAAGAAAGTGGAACGTTGGCTTTCTGTTACGTTATGCGCGAAAATGGAAATACAAGTCCTGCAGCTTATGACAAAACATTCGTCGAGGATGGATCATAGAAAATCGTTGATCAGTTGCAGGACTGCAATTTCGATTGACTTCTACTTCTTCCAGATCCTCATAGGATGGACTATCCTCAGGAAAGACACCATGGGAGCTTCGAAGAGCAGACTGATGACCAACGCAACGGCGTAGGACGCTATCGTGAACCCGAAGAATAGGATTGCCTGTAACATATTCAACGGTCTTTGTTTACAAGACGAAACGGGGCAACCGAAATGTAATATTACTGAAGGCAAAGTTTCGTCTCCGCGGCAAGGTGAACGTAACTTTCTCCGAGTAGGAAAACAGTAAGGGGGGAGATGAAAAGTGAGAACAGGTAGGCTATCAATAAGAAGCGGGCAAGGAAGGCGGGAAAAGGAATGCAGGGGCAGGCGCCGAAGACGCGAACGAGTCGACATCTAACGGAGTTCTCAGGAACGAATTAACTGGATTCGGATCGGTAATCGTGACATTCAATTTGAATCTTGTTCAATTGCATTTCATTGGAGGGCACAAGATGGAATGTTTTGAAATATGTAAAATATTGATTATGGTACCATTAATCCCAGTGTCAAATGCATAGAGGATTCTCCTTTCAGGGCCACCGCACGTATGATCGCGGGATGCACCAGATACACGCAGTAACTTAATCTGGACAGCGGATACAGGTACTTCCAGGACAGTATTTTATTTACAATCCCTAAAAACACAGTTGTCATTTGGTCGTTCAGAAAATAATCTACGGAACTGGAAATGTCCGTGAATTATTCGTGGTCTATTAATATTAAAAAACGAAATCGACCACTGACCACCGTGTCCAGTAGTGCAGGCGATTAGAACCCAGCCGACAGCGACCGCCCATCCGGAATGCGAGAACACCATGTACGCTGCGGACATGAATGGACCGTACTTGGTCCCGTATAATCCGTACACTATACTTAACATGACGAAAAAAGAGACGATCCAGCAGAGAAACGCAACTGTCTGTAATCAAAGTGAGGCCGTGTATCAAAGAGGCGATCCTGAATTTGCCGGATGATCATTACGGTGAAAGTTGATTACGATACTTCTTACTGCATTCTGTCATAATAATGGGCGAGTTACATGAGATCAGAATGCTACACATTCTTAACGGAATCGTGTGGTATGCGAATAATTCAGGGAAGTTGCCTGTTTCGAACGGAATGTGAAACTAGCCTCTCATATTTATACTCGAAATTAATCGTAGATGGCTACTCCCTCGAAATTATTCAAAAATATTATGCCACGCACAACACACATACACACCTTAGGAATTTTCAAGCTACAGCGGGTCTTGTAGAGATACCATCCTGCGACCATCCTGAGAAGATACGGCCCGATCCTCGACCACGGTTTGTCGTAGAGATTCTCATAATTGGCGAACGGATCTTCGATACTACATCGAATTTTACAGTCAAGTCAATTGCAATTAATACACAATATTTGTAAGAGATATGTTTTACCTTGGCACGTGTTGTGTACGCAATGTGATGACCGCTGTGGTGATCCAAGATACGATCAATATGAAGATGGTCATGAAACCTGCGGCTGAGAGGAACCTGGACAATACAGTTTAGTGAAACACACATCATCTTGACAGATTTGACGACTTAGATAAGGATCGTGTACCTTTGACTAATTATCAAGATGATCGTTCCAATGATGTAAAATATCGTGTCGTTTGCTAAATACCAGCTCCACACCATACACTGTCGAAACACATGCACGATTGTTTTAGAAATGTGTCCCGACTAAAGGGTTTATCGAAAAAAATATACCTACTCGTTCTTCCATGGTGAAATACGTATTTATGTACAGAATATTCCTCCACCAGAATTTTCGGCAAGTTTGATAATCCATCGAGTAAAGGTCGAGCATCGTGTGATCGTAATACCAAGGCATCGTCACCGCGATGAGACCGATCACCACAAGATAGGGCGATGTTAACCGGAAGTATCGGTAAAGAACCATACCCAAGAAAAATAACGAGAGGTTTGAATTTTAAATGAATACAATGAGCATGCGCAGTCGGTACATTTTTAATAGATTATCTATTCGACATCCCTTTCATCTTTGTCTCTCTTAGAAAGGAAATAAGGATGAAGCGATTATCGTTTGAACATAACCAAATTGGGCACATGTCAGAAATGTTAGAAATGTAAACAGTTGACAATACGTTACAATCATGGATATAATAATTGATACGACAGGTGATGCAGAGTTAGCGACAAGGAATAACTTGGTAGAAAGTGACGAAGATGATTTGGACTTTGAAAATCCTGGTAAATGAAAAAGGTTTTATGTTAGGGTGTACGGTGAGGTTAGAAACGCTTGATAGATTATTAACGATGTTTATTTATAGGGACACAGTCGTCGATATTCTTTAATATCGAAGAGGATTTAATTCAGAATAATGCTCCAACGAAAAAAAAGTGCCGTGACGTAACTAAAGATATCGATCTCGAGGAATTTGAAAATGATATGGGGTGGGCAGGTCCAAAAAAAAAGCATCACAAAACATCAGCTTCGGTAGCACTTTTGACAAAAGACATAACAGCAGTAGATAAACTACTCAAGAAAAGCGTAGTACAACCTGGTTTTGAACAACTCGATGCTGTACCTCCCTATGAGGTCTCTAAAAGGCAATTGCAAATTAAGAGACGTAAAGAACGTGCTGAAACCAAGGGCAAGGCTTGGTTCAATATGCGTCCCCCTGAGATGACACCTGAGGTTAAACATGATCTTGAAGTTCTTCAAATGAGATCTGCATTAGATCCAAAACATTTCTACAAAAAGAATGATCTCAAGGTTATACCCAAGTACTTTCAAATTGGTAAAGTGGTTGATTCACCTTTGGATTATTATTCAGGCCGTCTTACAAAGAAAGAACGCAAGAACACAATTGTGGATGAACTCATGGCTGATGCTGAGTTTTCTAAATATAATAAACGCAAATATAAAGAGATTATTGAGGAAAAGAAGAAATTGCATTATAAAGCTCATAAACATGCAAAGAGGCTCAAAGGAAAGAAAAAATAACGTGTTTAACATGCAAATATATATTTATTTGCATAAAATTTCATTATAGTTAATTACAAAAATATATATATATATCTTCAGTAAAAAAATATAATTTTAATTCATTCCCCCTGTAACTTCAATAGATGCTCCACTGACATAGGAACTTTTACTAGATGCTAAAAATGTGATAACTTCAGCCACTTCTTCTGGCTTTCCCATTCTGCCAAGTGATATTTTCTTAATAACAAGTTGTTGTACTTTATCAGGCACTGTTTCTGTCATTGGAGTCTGTATGAAACCTGGTAATACTGCATTAACACGAACACCAAATCTGCAAATAAAGTACAGATTTGATAGTATTGCATATTTCTAATATCATTAACTGTTGTTGTAGCTTTAATACTTACTGTCCAAATTCATAGCAAGCTGTCTGTGTAAGAGCTATCACACCTGCTTTAGATGCAGCGTAATTAGCTTGACCTATATTTCCCGCTTTGCCAGAAATTGAACTCAAATTAACAATTGAGCCATCTTTGCTTGCTTGAGCTTCGATCATTCGTTGAACTGCAGTTTGCATAACTAGGAATGTTCCTTTTAAATTTACATTGAGTACTTGGTCTAATTCCTTTTCACTCATTTTTAAGATGAACTGATCACGGGTGATGCCTGCAGAATTCACTATAATGGTAGGTGGTCTGGAGTATTTATTAATTGCATTTGTAAATGCTTCCTTAACACTGGCTGCATCTGAGACTTCCAAATTTAAAGCGAGATGTTGTTTGGAATCTAAATAAAAATAGTTGGGTGCACTTTTATGTTGTGAGTGAAAGAATGTAACAATGGAAAAAGTTAATAATTTCTCGTGTTCAAACCATTTAAAGATTCGACAGTCTCTTCAACAGCTTGTAAATTCCGATCGGTAGCGACAACTTTAGCTCCTTGTCGTGCTAAAATTCGGCAAACTTCTTTGCCTATACCGCTTCCTGCGCCTACAATGACAACAAATTTTAAGCCAAGCGATCACGTCGAATTCGAACGTTCACGTCAATCTTTTGTTTCACTTATATTTCATTTCGGTTTTTAGTACACACCTGTTACAAAAGCTAATTTCCCAGCTACCATCTTGAGTATTTATCGAGGAATGACACGTAAATAAGTTCAAAGTCGCTTTTTGTATGAACCCATTACGTAAGAAAATAATTGTAAGATATTAAAGGAATCAGTTTTACCGATTCACGAGCCATCCTTGATAATTTTCAATATTTTTTTTAACCATAGTCGGATGTACGCGCAACGAGTACTACGAGGACCAATTAGGATGAACCTCAGTTACCTAGGTAACTGTACCATATGCTGCTGACGTCAAAGTACGTCTGCACTGACGTCAGAAATGCAACGCGAGTAGTAGCTATGTTTACAGAAAAATTGAACTTGAATTATAGTCCTACTCCAAACGGTCGTTCCTTGCCGTGGATGCAAGCAGAGCTCTCGATGCACCGTTTCAAGTAACAAAAGAAACGCGAATCTTCGTCTTAAAAGTGTGTGAATTGCAATTACAAAAGTTACATTTGAAACGTGTGAAAACATAAAAAAGAATAGGTTAAATTAAATATGACTGAATTTACAAAACCTTTGTGCCGGATAATATGAAACACAGTGTGTTCCTACTTCGTCAAGAGAAAGTAATAATGTATAAACTGAAACTGTAAGTTCATGTTTCAACAAAGTGTGTATATATGTGCTATGTGACAATGTGTAAAAATCACAAAGTTTTCTCGGCAGATTTAACAATACAGACAAAATAGGACCATTGTTTATAGTTCGATTTCAGAACGATATAGTATACTATGTATTCTTTTTAAGTGAACTTCAATTGTTTTATGCTCGTATGTGTGTTTGATCTGTTTTAGCTTCGGATTCGACCATGTAAACAAAATGAAATATCTGGTAATTTTGCGTGTCTCGTTCGATAGGAGGCAACATATAACGATATCCTGAAGAGACGATAAATTGAAAAAAGAAAAGGGTGACGTTATCGCGGAAGGATCGCAAAAGGAGCATGCGTGCGAACAGGTAGAATTCAAACGGAGGAAGAGGAAGAAAATGAGTGGGAGGGGGCGGAACGGTTGGCAGCACCGGCGCTTCACGAAACATAGCCCCCGCACCTCTGTCCTCGGTTCCGCATCGCTCGTGCCAGTTTTCTTTCGGTAGGGCTCCAGACAAGAAGCATCGAAAGGGGGGGAATCAGGCAGGAGGTCGAAACGGAAGAATTTGTAGCCCGATTACCGGAGACAGATCGCGTTAGTTTATACGACGTGATAGAAACAGGTTGCCGGGGTAACGTTCTGTCGCGTGGAAATCTAATGTCCGAGAGAACCGAGGAAAGACGAACGGCGGCGTATGCTGTGAAGTCGCGCAACGGAAAGTAGGTTCGATTCGGCGGGCGTAAGAAGAAGAAAGAAGGTGGTAGGAGCGAGTGGGAGCGCATAGACAGAGGAAAGAAGAAGACGAAGAGAAGGGAAGAAGAAAAGAAAAGGTGTGCGACGAGGACGCGTCCCCGTGTGTCGCGTGAGAGGTGAGGCGACAGCGGCGTGGTGAAAGTCCCCGCGGTTGAACTGGGAGAGAAAAATTCGGCGGTAACCGGTAGCACCGAGGCTACCAAGGTGTTCCGGAGTGCAGCAGCAGCGGCCCAGGATGCTGCCCTACGGAGCAAGAAGATGGCCGTGATCGGCGAGCAGAGGTATTACACGGCGGTACGTCCGAACGCGTACACGGAGTTCTCGTGTCGTAGGTTCGAGGCCGCGACAGCCAGGTCGCCGTCCTCCTCGTCCTCGACGTTGCCTTTCCATCGGCGTCGACACAGGAAAAAGGCAACGCATTCACCTGGACGACTAGCGATGTCCTCGTCACGGGGTAGCGGCCCGGAATCGGGAGAGCTCAGCGACTCCGAGGACGGTTATCTGGACACGGATCCCCTGAGGTACGAACTGAGAAATATACAAAATGTGATACATGTTACACGTCAGAATATCGATGCTCTGAACAATCGTTTCGCTGGATTTCAACATCCACCCTCGATATATTTGAATGAGTATCAGGAGCTGACTAGTAAGTTGCATGACCTGGAATCCAAGGAACAGAAACTCAATGAATTGTTGAACGTCATGCTGGTGGCTGGCTGTGCTTCCACATCCGAGAGTGAATCTCGTGAAGCCAATGCGAATATTAGATGCCAGAGAATGCCCACAAGGTCTCTGCTCAGGGCGTATTTACCTAATCAACAGCGTACCAGTGTGCAGGTTCGTGAAGGACTATCGTTGAGAGATGCATTGGCCAAGGCAATGAAATTAAGAAATTTGACCACCGAGATGTGTGTGGTATACATCTTAGGCATAGACAAATCCAAGTACCTCACGTCTTGGGACACAGATATTTCTGTATTAGATTGCGATGAAATATCTGTGGAGATTATGGACACGTTTCCTATAACTACTTCCATTTCACATAATTTTGTGCGTAAGACATTCTTTTCACTGGCATTTTGTGAGTGCTGTAGAAAACTCCTCTTTCAGGGATTTTATTGTAGAACATGCAATTATCGGTTTCATCAAAGATGTGCAGGTGGTGTACCTGCTCTGTGTCATCAAGTACGCATGCAAGATGCCTATTATCAGGCATTATTGGCGCATAATCTTGAAAGTACTGCTGGAATCCTGCATCTTCCTTCTGGCTACGGTTTAAGCAGAAGCATGTCTCCTTCTTTGGCTCCCTCGAGAAACCAGAGACATCCACGTTCCTTGGGACAACAGGATCGTTCCAGCTCTGCACCCAATGTCTGTTTCAACATGGTCAAACCAAGTGGAGATTCTGCTAATTTGGACGAATACAGTAGATCTCAGAGTTTAGGCCGGCCTGTTGGAATTACACAAAGTGCAGTATCTCCTGGTAGTAGCCCGACAAAGCATAGTCAGTCAACGCAGGCTAGTCCTACCAGTACCTTGAGGCCAAAACGGCCTAGAGCAAGATCAGCAGATGAATCGTCGAAAAATCTTTTAGCGCCAAGAGAATCCATAGAAGATTGGGAAATTCCAGCTGATGAGATTTTAATTGGAGCTCGTATTGGTTCTGGTTCCTTTGGAACAGTATACAAAGCTCACTGGCACGGACCTGTAGCTGTAAAGATGCTTAACGTTAAGATACCAACTGCTGCTCAGTTACAAGCATTTAAGAACGAGGTTGCAGTTCTGAGAAAAACACGGCACGTAAATATTCTTTTGTTTATGGGATGCGTCAGTAAACCGCAGCTCGCGATTGTTACTCAATGGTGCGAAGGTTCTTCTTTATATAAACATTTACATGTATTTGAAACGAAGTTTGATTTATTCACACTGATAGAGATTGGGAGACAGACCGCGCAAGGTATGGATTATTTACACGCGAAAAATATCATTCATCGGGATTTAAAAAGTAACAATATATTCCTGCACGACGACCTTACTGTGAAGATCGGTGATTTCGGCCTGGCCACGGCGAAGACCAGATGGTCTGGTTCACAGCAATTCCATCAACCGACTGGATCTATATTGTGGATGGCACCGGAAGTAATAAGAATGCAAGAGGAGAATCCGTACAGTTTTCAGTCGGACGTGTACGCGTTTGGCGTTGTTTTATTCGAATTGCTAGCTAGTCAGTTACCATATTCGCACATCAACAACAAAGATCAAATACTGTTTATGGTCGGCCGTGGGAATTTACGTCCGGATCTGAATAAATTGCGTTCAGACACGCCAAAGGCATTGAAGAGACTGACAGAGGATTGCATCAAATTCTCCAGGGAAGAGAGACCGATATTCCGTCAGATATTAGCCAGTTTAGAAGGTCTTTCCCGTGGATTACCGAAAATCACGAGATCAGCGTCCGAGCCGAACTTGAACAGGACCCAATTACAATCGGACGATTTCGTGTACACCTGTGCTTCGCCAAAAACTCCCGTGAACTTCCAGTTCGGAGCGTTCTCCTTTTATTCTTCTGGCGGGAACATATAAAAAGTACGACGAGTCTGATGCGCCGTATGGTTTATGGTAAACGAGAGATTTTAAAGAATTTCAAGACGGAAATATCGGTAATAAACTTATCTATGAACAATCTATGTAATACTTTTCAACTACACTTTTCGACTGTGTGGCAACTGTTTGCTCGATGTAGAATGTGATCATGAAAATACTTAACGGATGTAAGGTCAGAAATGAAAGAACCAGAATAGACGAGATCCGTCTTTATAAGAATCGATGTACCGGATATGTGTATTTCATGCCAAGAATGTGTAGCTTTTATCTTCACATACTTACTCTGTCTACGGAAGGGATTTTTATTTCACGAGTTCCATCACGCGCGTGTATATAACGCGTATAATGTATTCATATAAACATGCCCGTGTACACGCGCGCGATCGGGTTGTAGAGATCCTGTCTAACCTATCGCGGAATCCTTGTGAAGGATGTAAAAATAAAGTAAGTAATAGTAGTAACGGCATTTAAATTCGTGTGGGCCGTCGTCGTTTGTCTGTGAAGTATTTTTGCAATGACCGAAGTGATTTTTGTACCTTCTTCCTTCATGTTCATGTCTTGAATGTGCTCATACAAGAATTGTTCCTTCATTTTTTTGTTTTTCGTAACTTATAATTTATAGTCTAACGTTCGAATGTTAAAACATTCTCGACTAAAACTAACCAGTAGAGACACTTTAGTTTTAATAGTTGCAGGAATTATTTTCCTCTTTAGTGTAGTTCCACGCTAATTATCCGTATCCGACTGATTTCTTTTCATTACACATTTGCTTCCGTGAGATAAACGGGGTAACTCTATGGGTCGAGTGGCTCCAAAAGAAAAAAAAAACAACGGTTCCACTGTACCAGAATAACAAATGAAAGTCAAGAAAAAAAAGAAAAGAAAAACGTGATATCCATACATATGGTCTCTGTGTCTTCAAGGACTTTGTCAGCAGGATTGATCCGCGCGAGTCGTCTGTTCTCTCGGCTTCGAGTAATTTTCAAGGGGTTGCCAAATAATTAAGGCCTAAGTCTATGTAATTCCTATTCGATAAAAAAGTAACGACATCGAGTCGAATCGAGATACACGATATAAAACGTCTTTTAGGACGTTTAGACCGCGTGCGCGTCATCGATTCGATCTAACACACGGCGGATTAAAAAGATGCTCTTCGGACCGCCGCCGCCGCGAAGCACGTTTGAGACGACACACGAGCGTGGAAAAAGGCCTAACACACACAGAGAAAATCTCTTGGAAAATTCACTGGTTCGAGACGAGTGAATCTTATTTCTAAAGCACCCCACGTGGCATCCCGATTTATTATTTATTTATTTATACGTAATCCTCAGTGTGATGAACTCTACGATTAAAGGAAGAAAAACGTTAAAAAAAAAAAAGAAATTGATAACATTAAGCTGACAAAAAGGAGTGACGGATTTCGAAAATTTCAAATCTAAGTGTATGTATGTGCGTGCGCGTGTGAAAATGAGGGAGAGATATATAAGCGAAATGGCGTGAATTCCGGAATCTTTGGATAAAGAGAACGTGTTCAAGCGTGAGAGTGTGAGATAGAGAGAGAAAATAAAATGATGAAGGTGGAAACGACACACGACGGACGCGTTAACTGGAGCAAAGTAACGCACTCGTCATCGTAATGACGCTTTCTCGTAACAGGGAAACAGTGAACCATGAAACATAATTAACGATGCTACAATAATATCGGAAAGGCAAAGAAAAAGAAAAACATCGAAGGAAGAGGACGTCGCGTGAGAGGCGCGGAATGATTTTTACATCGTTTCCCCGTGATTATTTTTCAACCACATGGAAAAGCGTTCAAAAAAGAAAGACTAACCGTATGTTTACAGTGTACCTTTAGTTGTAAACGTGATCGATTTCTTTGTCATTCGTATTTTTTTTTAATTTCGATGTATGATCCGAAGTTTCAGTTGATGATTACCAACGCGTCAGTAGTGAAAGGCTGAGAATCAAAGAAGAAGCGGTGAAAACTTGCGATCCTCGAGCTCTACGTCCTCCGCGATCGATCTTCCTGTGTATATTATTGTCAAATTTTTAGAATATCGTTTTTCTCGGAAGACATTCCTCTATACATTTGCTTCGATGTATGTATTATCGTACACACGTAGAACGGTTTTTTCGCGCGACTGCAAGGCGAATGGACGCGGATTCTCGGTGTGTCGATCACGATTTGTCAACGAACAGATATATATTATCACGAATAACTGACCAACACGAGTTCAAACGCGTCTACTAAATCGGCGTCGTTTCGCCATTGTTGAGAATGATGGTAAACGGAACTGTTCTCGTCGGATTCCGTCATCGTTAAATTCTATCATGGATTCCGTACAAACTCGATACGAGAAACGATCTGGCCGAGTTTTCCATTTGATCGACAGATGTTGGACGGATCGCGTTATTGTAATAAAGTTTCTGGCTTCGGTTTTGGTCGAATCACGCTGCTGAAGCTGCTGTCCATCGAAAAAAATCGCGTGTCTTGTGACGAGATGGCGTGTGGCTGAGATTGGAGATACTTAATTCGATCAATCGCGACCACCGATTGATTATTGTATTCAACCAAAAAAAAGAAAAAGAAACAAAAAATAAAAAAAATTGACTCTTCATGTACCAAGTCTCGTTCATTCTCTTTAATCGATTTAAATACCAACAACTAGATTGCACACGTTTTCGCGAATTCCTTATGGATTGAATTACCAGAAATTTGTCTCCTCTATTAAGGGTTAAGCAACAATCTCATTAAAATATTTTTTTTCCATCTATGTAATACTTTAATTTTATGTACATACAGACGAGGATCCACTCATACAATGCGTGCTAAACGTTTGCATGCTTGACTTCAAAGAAGCAGTGTTTACTGGGGAATTATTTAACTTCAACGTGCAGTTAAATATTCTGATTATTATGGGTACGACAGGTACGGGCAAACTATTAGGACGTACCGCAGCTTCCGGTGCACTCCAGGAAACCAAGAATTTCTGTTGGGAAGGTTGTGACGTTGCGAGTCTGTGGTAAATACTTTCTGAGGTTCTTTACTTGTCTAGAGCCATTCGCGACACTTAATCCACCTTTAAACGCTAGATTAACGTCTCCAAAATAATTCCACTTTCCTAATATATCCACCAAAAAATATATTATAACAGAATGAATAGATTATATAATCAAAAGAAGTAATTAATGTCCGTTTCCACTAAATGTCGGTTACTCTCGTTTCATTTCTGTTCAAAGGCAGCGTAATTCCCGCCACGAACGATTTGGAGGTGTGTAGGGTACGTATATATATACACGAACGTAACCCCACAAGGGTAAGCTTTACGCATGTGTTGATCCGTGTGTGCGTGCAGTAAAACGTCAAGTGTATTGGTGCACCATCTGCGAGGGGCAACCGTGCGTGTGCGTACATACGTGCAGGTTGCAATGAGTGTGTCAGTGCGCGTGCACTCGCCACTGCTTGACATATATACGTACTACGTAGGTGGGATGTACGAAGGTAGCGCGCATGCGCAAATCCAGCTGGCGCCTCAGCCGGCTGAATAGTCGATGCTGGAAGCTCGTAGTGCGAGTGCCTGTGTTCCCCCGTTCCTTGCGTCTCCTCGTTGTCCGTCGTGAATTCGCGTACACGGAATTTATAAACCCCCCGCGTATCTACACGTACACGTACGTACGGTCTACAGAAACGGCGAGTAAAGAGTCAAGTTTATGTGCGAATACCGTGAACAGGTGGACGTCGAGGGTCGCTCGCCTTTCTGCGCGAAACGAGGTTAGTTGACTTCGAATCGAATTTCAGGCAACACGTCGGTCCCACAAGGGGGAACGATCACATACAGACACACACCGTTTATGCTAACCTTTCGCGGGATACGAAAAATACCATCTAATGTTTTTTTCCGTGTGAATCGTTCGTAGAGTGTGTCACGTGTGACAGCACACACCGTGGGAAAGTGAGAACGATCGCAGTTCGATTCGGAGTTCGATTTACATTTTTCGTGCAGACGGTTCCGACCGTTGTACAATCCGGACGAAAATAGTATCGCATGGTTTCCGGGAGCCCAGCAAGAGTTCCTCGAGAATCTAATAGTGTCCTATTCTATCGATATCCAGGGGAAAACAGAACTGAAAAAAGGAGCTGCTGTGACACCACTGGTACCCGGATATCGATACACTCGGAGCATTTTCGTGCCATTGACAGATCGAGCCTTTTATCGCGAGCATGTTCAATAAACAGTGAAATTCTACGACAATCACATCTTTTGTCCGGGACCCATGACCTGTCGTCGCGAGTCAAGAACGTAGGACGGCGGGAAAGATCGATTTAGCGGCGTCGATCGCGGGTTCGATACTGTAACTCGAATAAATTACCAGGGAAATCCGATTAATGGGTAAATTGCGATGCGTACCGCTAATTAATCGCGTTCGACGGAAGAATCAAAGTGAACGACATTGACCGAGAAATGGGAAAGCAATCGTCGCGTGTGTAAATTTTATAATACCGTCGCGGTGGTATCGTGTTGTTGACTCGTGGGGCATCGATACGCGTCAAACGAGAACTTCTCCTTTTGTAAATCACCGTGAAAACGCGCGTGTGTGTGTGTACGTGCGTGCACCCTGGAAATATAACCGATGGTTATACTTTCTCTTTGTGCCCCCCGGTAATACAATATTTTCGACGTTTTGCTCCGGCGCCGCAAACGAAACCACCACGGATTTTGTCGCCGGAACGACAGGACGCGCGGTGTTCGATGGGAAATGTATTCCAACGATATTTTTAACACCACTCCGCCGACGAAGAAACAGGGAACGAGAGTTCTCGTGACGAACGAAACACGCCGCGGTAGCCCGCGACCGCACTCTTATCGGGGTACTTTTCGATAAGGACTGTACTATTGACAAGGGCTCTATGGCCGTTGTTTTTTCATAGAGAACCGCGCGCGCCTTATTCCAACCTAGAACGATTGCGAGACGTTTCGATATTCAAGATTTCATAATGTTTAATCCGATTTTCGACGACCTGTTTCTCGAACTCTTAACCCTTGATATCGTGGTATTCTCTGTAGTGTAGATTTCCATCAAAACTTTCCCCCTTAATCGCTTTCGAACCGTCGACGAAGTTTACGTTCTTTAATTAATCATCCAACGGACAGATCGTTTAACCGGGTTACCTTGAGTAAAAGCTTATAAACCGTGTTTTCACGAGTCACCGGAATGATGTATTGTGGGTGTCATTGAAAGTTAGCAATCCGTCGGTCTTATCAATTTATACAATGGGTAGAGTTTATCGTCTCGCATTATTTCTACGTTTGAAGAATACTGAACTTTGTTATGATTTCAAGTGTGTATAGGCCACCGAGTGAAAAAGGAAGAGCATAGCTCGTACGTGTTCTACTACGGATTAATCGTGGAACAAGGCGCCCCGTGTGTTCACCTTTACCGATAACCCCACGGTTAGGACAATCAGTAAATACGTCGCTAATTACGTGCGCGTTTTGTTGCCGTTTCCGTGGCCTTACCCATATATCGATACTCTAATTAACACTTATCCGCCTGCTTTACAGCCCGAAGTCCGATAATCGAATTCCACCAGCCGAGCTAAGAAAGACGTTCACCACTTGGATAAGGGTCGGAGGGAGAAGGCTGAGGGGATCGAACGAATTCGTCTGGTCCCTGTTGCAGCCCTCCACCGATCAGCTTCGACATCGATACATACAGTACCATATTCGTCCACGACTTTTGCCCCTGGCTGGTTCCTTCCTCGTGATCCAACCAACGACACATATACATCACTCATCGAGAAAACTGGAACAATCTTCGTCCATAAGAGCTGTGTCGTCGAGGTCTTCTCGGCTCGTCCTTACGACTAGAAACGTTGCCACCGGTCTTTTACCGTGTTCGAGTGTGCTCTGAAGTTAGAGACACTCGACGAGACAAGGGGAAAAGAAGCTTATTTCATTTCCCTTGATCCGGTACAATGGGGCGTGCTTGCTCGATCACCGCCGCGAAGAAGTCGATGGCTCGGCGGTAAAGCCCTGGTCTTCTGGTGTTTTCAACCAGGAACAGAGACCAAACCCTCGAGGTCATCCAGCGAGGGCTAGCAACGGAGGCCAGTGAACGGATGTACAGGTCCGCCGCGGAGCGGAAGGATGTCCGATTGGCCGCATTGGATATGGGATAGATGATAGATCGCAAATAATGGGGTGGTAAGAGCCGGCGGGGCGGGCACAGCGGAAAATGGATTGGGTGCCTCGGCTCAGGTAGCCAGAGACGACGACGAAGTCGCGGGGCACCGAGGGGTGAAACGAGCCCCGCCAATTATATATCGTACCACGGTTTCTTGCTCTCTCTGCGGCGTTGGAGGACCTTGTTCGTGTCGCCTTCGTCTGTCCGGCGAAACGTAATCATCAAAGACTGTTCATATTACCTGCCGTCTCGTGCAAAGACTGACCTTTTCGGGTTCCCTAGGCTTTTCCTCTCTGTTTAGTGAAAAATAAATTACCGGAAGAAGTACGTACCTTCGTTCATCCGGCTGCATATCGTGTTCCTTAGATTCTGGAAATTCGTCAAATGTCCTTAAACGTACACATATCTATACTGGATCTTATGTAGTCGATCATTTGCGACCACTGTGAAGAATTTCCGGGGTGGATGTACCACAGCGCCCGGTGCTCGCCTTGATTCGGATTTTCCTACTGTTATACACATTACTCTAGTTACGTATTCGCGTGTAGAGACAAGAATCTATATATATATATATATATATATGTATATGTATCTATATGTATACATCGAGTAAGAAGAACAATTTTTGCTGCCTAATCGCGTAAATCGTATCGACACGATCATTGTTTTCTACGAACGATATTCTCTCAACTCTTGGTAGACCGGGACAATCGTCTTTTCGTGGAGTAATAATAATCGACGTGTAACAAAGAGACTCGCCCGAGTAATCGGAAATCAGTGAGAAGTGAAGTCAGTGCAACCGCCGGCCCGCAACAGAGCAGGATGGGTTGTGGTCAGAGCAAGATTGGCAACATCTATCCGAAAAACAAGAAGAACAAGAACAACACCGGCAAGAAGAATGGCGATTCAGTGGGTGAGTGTTGTACGCGACATTAATTAATCGTAGATATTTTTCATTTGGATTTCAGTTTAGTCGAATCGATAAACCGAACGCGGTTCAATGTGCAACTAGGTGAGAGATGTTTTATCGGTCTTCGTGTGAACTGTATCGTAATCGATGCTATATCTGCAAACTTTTCAATCGTTTCCAGTCGAGCAGTTTTTAATGATAATAAGTATTTTTTTTAACGAGGCGAGTGTCACACTCATTTAGCTTAAAAAAAAAAGAACGAGTATCCTTTGTTTCCACAGATACACGAGCTAGATAATGTCCGGGGGAAAGTGTTAAATCGAGCTCCATTTTCGCGCCGTAGTGGGTCAACATCGGTTCAATCTCTTCCTCGTAAACTGTATCGTGATCTTGGCCCACGTTCGTCGTCCGAGTAAATATGTAATAGCCGTAGCGAGCAACTGTCCTCCCCCTTTAGCTACAGTCATCAGACCCGGCATATAGACCGGCGTTGTTCATGTAATTAACGTCGTTGCTCGCCAAATTCGATCCGCCTCATAATCGTTGATCCGACGACTGTAATTAAACAGACGCGTCTCAATTTAGGGGATCGACACCCGTCACAAGAGCTGCTACTCGTCGAAGTTGGGTCGAACGATTTCTATGATTATCGCCACCGTTTATCCTTCGCCACAAAACGCATAGCTGTTCGACGAGTGCCATTTAAACGACTGTTCGAATCGTATGATTTCGAGTATGACTCATTAAAAAAGCGTTCAGTTCTCTTACTGGTAAGTCTATGACAAGAATAGTTAATTCCTCTTTGTTATTGTTAGACGAAGAAGGAAAGTGAGGCTCGTTACCGATATTTATCATCGAAATTCCACTTTGAAGTTATGATTCGGAACGGAATTGAAATTAAACAAACGACCGTCTTTGTCACGTCAAAGTGAGATTTCGCCGTTCTACCTTGAGGTTCAGTTCGCTTCGTGCAATTGGTCTACGTAGAATTTTTACCGTAGAAACATTCAACGGTTTGTCAATCGAAGACAGCCTAGCTCCGCTCTAACAAAACAGGGTTAACACCTTTATCTTCGCGTAGTTGGTAGCAACCGTTGACTCACGGTTCAGATTAGAAAAAGGTGCAGGTATATCTGTTTCTTGAAACAAGAAAATAGCACGACTTGTCTTATCCGACGTTTCTTGTTTTTCCTTACGTACACCTAGGAGATAATAGATAAAGTTATAATTGGAGACTCTGTCATAATTTCAGTTCGACGGGCATAATGAAATTTCACCCGATGATTGTTTCTCGGATTCATCGATAGATAATTGACAAGAGTATTGATCGCGCGCGCGCGAGATTCGTGGATTGTGGGTACAACAAAACGGTTTTGATAAGAGGGCTTCGTCGAATCAGGTTGTCGAACGATTTTATACCGTAATCATAATAACAGTTCAGTGAAGCGAGGACGAGGACGTGCGTACGTGCACACGTTCCGTAGATACGCACACGTACACGCACGCGTACTCCGACGTCGATCGATTTTCTTCTTCGCGTACCTTGCATACATCGTTTGAGGTAGATTAGGCCCCCCCCATTCGGGTTAGGTCGCGCGCGAAAAGGGAGCCCGTAACCTTCCGAACCATAAATTGACATTCAGGAACCAGTTGTTTCGGTTGTGTACCCTCTTCGCTTGCCGTTTAATAGGTTAAAGGCGACGAAGTGGACGGGACGACTTCACACACACGTTTCCACCTACGGGGCACACTTTTCGTGGATCCGTGGGAAAAATAGAAAAATTTAGTCGATAGGCGTCTTCCGGCGCGTACGGATAATCCAGAAATAAACCGATGGGCCTTTTACTTTTCGTGGAAATACCCGGAACAAAAACGCTCACGTCTATTTCGAGCGCTGTGTATGTGTGTGTGTGTTGTCGGCCTAATTTTACTAGGAATAAATTATCAGCTGGCGATTAAAGCGGCGATAGATTTTCCATTTCGTGGAGTCACGCGACCCAGATCGGCTGTAAGCTTCGAATAATTCTCTCGCGTGCTTTTTTGTCCCCGTTGAACGAATTTATTCCGACGTGGCGGCCCCGACTCCTTATTTCTTTTTTTTTTGTTTGCCCCGTTTCACTGGTCAGTAACGTCTCGTGATGGTTCCGTGGTCTATATCTATATGACGATTATAAAACGCGACGCGTCACTCACTGCCTCGAGAATCGAAAGGCGAAAAGAAAACAATTCACCGTTAACCCCTTCCCCTCCCGCGTCTGAAAATCGTATGTCAGATCGTGGTTTGTTGTTTACCGGCTTGAACGTCTGCGAGCTAAATATACTCGCGCGATAATTCTGATATTTATATCATTACGATGGCTTCGCTTACGGCGCCTCGAGACCCTGTCGTCGTCTAATTCGCGCGCACGCGTATGTCAAGATTTTGCATCGTTAGTTATATACCTGGACGGGTGTTAACTACTTGAATAATAGTTAAATAATATTAGCGATTATTTATCGTCGATGTGTAAGCCTGAGAGTAGTGTGAATGGGTGGGGGTTCTGCGCTCTGGTCTAAACCAAACTGGAATTTGCCCCATTGACGAACAAGTCGCCACCTTACGGATGATTTCGTCTTGTTTCAAGGCAGATAAAAACAGCTAACATTCGGGTTGTTTATTCGAATCTTATCGATGGTCCTTGCCGAAATTTCGTGAAAAAAAAAATACAAAAATAATCTTGTTTACCGAATTATCAACAGCACGACTATTATAATTTCATATAGATATCCATATAAAGCTCGTCGCGCGGCGGGTCGTGCGCATATGCATTGCGCATAAACATCATGGCGTGACAGATATTTGTTTCATGCTTACAACTTACGTCCCGTGTATAAATTAAAATTCGAGAGAAAGAAGATCTAGTTCATTGTCACTTCTTTCCGTATGTTTCCAAAGTATCGAATTTCGCGGTTATGACGCGTCGTATCGTGCGGATTTTCAATTTTCCCAACGTACCACACCGCGAAAAGTTGCGCGCGCACGTGCCTCACTGCCAGTTTCCATGGGTCCGCAACGTTGCCGTCGCGTTTCGAAGAGGCGGGAGCGGCATGCACGCCGCGCGCGAAACGGTTAAAACTGTTCTCAGTTGTGCACGCGGCGATTTGGTTTTGCGGGTTTCCGATGTTAGAGCGTCCCCGAGTTTTCTTTCCCACAAGTGTGTCTCGTCAAAATGTGCTAGAGAGTGCTCGCGTTGTGATTCGTCTGTGCTGAGTAAACAAGACAAGTTCCAAGGCCCGAGACCGATATTATCGCGCTCGGTAGTAGAGCAACCGACACGAGACTGTTGCCTACGTGATCGTTGTTCCGCCTATAAAAGGGTCGCGCCTCTCTAGCGTCAGTGTCTGTCTCTCGTAGCAATTTCGTGTGTGAGGATCGTTCGTTGTGGCCCCCGTATCGTGCCGTGAACGCGATCTCGATACTCTCCGTTATTTTTTGTCGTTCCGCGTCGTTGTTTATCGATCGTTGTGATCTCTGGACATATACCGATCCGCGCGCCACTACGAACGTTGCGAAAAGTGAGGTTAAGTAACCGGCGGCGCGCAAAAGACCGATCACCACCGACCAGGTGACAGTGAAACGGTTGTTTCGTGCTGCTGGGTCGCCGCCGCCGCGTCATCGAGTCGTCATTTCCCTTGGCTGGAGTACTTCCCGTTCTACCAGGACGTCGGATTTCGAGAGCAAACGAAAAGGGACGAGGATGTGGCTGAAGGTGTTGAGGCAAAATATAACGCACTTAGCCCGCAGGGCGAAAGGTAAGCTCTCTCGATTAGTTTCTTCGAAATTGAAATCTCCTCGTGGTGAAGGGAGCGTGGATGGGCGAGATACGTCTCGTTATTGACACGAAGAAGACCGGTTATTTATAGTGGTTACTTAGACTTTTACGTGTGTCTCCTCTGAGTAGCCTTCCGTAAACATGTCGCGATCGGTGATGGGTGCGCGATAGTGTGTGTAGTCCCGAGGACCGTTCGGAACGCCGCGTATATACTCGTGCCATGGGTAATTGCTACGCTCGAATTAGGCTGCATCTAATTTTAAGCCCCGTCTCGCGTTTCGCGGTCTTTTCGGAGAAGAGAATTGTGGAATGCGCCAGCGAGCCACTCTGTTGCAGCTGCGTGAGTCACGCAGCTGCTTCAGCAGAACACGACGTATCCGGCTTTTGCATTGTTCCGAGTTTATTAACCCACCCTCCGCTGGAAAAAAAGTCGTGTAAACGTTTCTAACGGCTTGGTATTTAGGTTCTCTGCGTCGACATCGTACCGTCGTGACTCGTGTAACCGGCGCCGATGGTAATCCTGCTTTGCATTTCGAGTACACTCGAAGTGGGGAAAAGGGGAATCACTGCAGGCCTTATCGTGTATTGCAGTGTAGCCGTATGCTAATTATAGAACTAACGATCTAACTAACGATAGAGGCTCGAGTACGGGGCCGTTAGACGCATTCGATTTATGAATGCCAAACAATCACGTGGAACAAGGAACGTGCGTTTCCGTGCGAGAGATAGAAGGTCCGGTGTAAACGTGACCGTAGACATGTCACGTCGTTTCGGGACGGCCTTGTAATCGGTGTACGAGGCGGACGCTTATTCCGAGCATTCTCATCGGAGTTGTTATCGGTACACGGTTAAATCGGACACATGAAAATCTCCATCTGCAACCTTGTACCGTGTAACTGCGTCGTAATGCGTTCGTCGACAGGAGAATTTCACATCCGAGCAATGAATCTCCCCTCCGCGACGTAGCCGCTTTTGAATTGAATTCCTGTCTACTCCAACCGTCGCTCTCTGTGTTCCGAGTTCTCTCGTTCCCCTCGTTCCGTGGACCGTTTCCCTTCCGTTTCTACTATCTGTAAAAGAGATTGCGGTCGTAATACCAACGGAAACTAAATTACGCAGGTGTTTTACGCATTAAACTAAAGGGATTTGATAGAAATATGAGATGCAAGGGGTTTTTAGACTTTATTCAGG